AGAGCATTGCTTTTTTCTTTAGGATGAATATGCACAGTGGGTAGTTGCAAGTCAGAGAAGCCTACTCGAGGTCATGGCAGAATTTCCATCTGCCAAACCTTCACTTGGTGTCTTCTTTGCAGCCATTGCTCCTCGTCTGCAGCCCAGATATTATTCTATCTCATCCTCCCCAAAGTGAGTAGTTATTTCCCTGCCCCGCTATTCTCTATGCTCACAGCATTACACCATGTGTTGCCCATTAACCAAAAGAAAATTTTTTGTCCTGGGCTTTCGGAATATGTTTGGAATGATCATTATTGTTTATCGCTCATGTAAGCTGACTATGATATGAGGTCTATTTGTGGATATTAAAAATAAAAACATTTCTGATTTGAGATGTAATAACATGAGAAAAAAATGTCACTTATTTTATTTTGTTTCTTTTCTTTCTTCATTTTTTTTCCATCTGGGATAAATGTTTTGCAGGATAGCACCCTCTAGGATTCATGTAACTTGTGCATTAGTCTATGAGAAAACACCTATTGGAAGAATTCATAAGGGTGTCTGCTCAACGTGGATGAAGGTATTGGTTTTTTTACTTGGTTTATATAATCGTATATCAGCTGAGTGAATAAAATATAAGGAAATGCCAGTAAATTGAAATAGTTAATTACCAAAGGAATAGTGTATTTCCTAAATATTTTAAATTGTTCTAGATTTATCTGGACTCGTATATATGTTGGACGTGCCATCTTTGAGTCTAATGAGCTCATCTGTGTAAATTGTACAACCCTCGTATGTGTGGGTGCTTACCGTTTATCCCTTTTCAGAATGCTGTCTCTTTGGAGGAAAGCATTGACTGCAGTTGGGCTCCCATTTTTGTTAGGCAATCTAACTTCAAACTCCCGGCTGATCCTAAAGTGCCAATCATAATGGTCGGCCCTGGTACAGGCTTGGCTCCATTTAGGGGTTTCCTTCAGGTTTGTAAGAAAGCAATTCATGTTACATCCTATGTGTTCCTAGCTTCTCCTAATGCTGAACATATATTGATTCAACAAATATCTGTAAATTTCAGGAAAGATTAGCTCTCTTGGAATCAGGAGCAAAACTTGGTCCTGCTGTATTGTTCTTCGGCTGCAGAAATAGTAAAATGGTTAGTAAATCACTAATCATTTGTAACATTGGGTTTTCTAGACACATATTAATTATAAGATTTTTCTAAAATAGTTCACGCAATTTTCAGGACTTCATCTATGAGGAAGAGCTAAATAAGTATGTTGAAGCTGGTGTAATTTCTGAGCTGGTGATAGCTTTCTCACGTGCAGGACCAACGAAGGAATATGTGCAGCATAAGATGACGGAAAAGGTGTTCAACCATTTCCACCTATTACTATCTAACTAGTTTCAGGCTACAGATTTTAATAGAAGTCCAAAGATTTTTGATTGCATATTGTCTTCAAATTTTTAGTAACATATTTTGGTGCACAACAGGCTTCAGATATCTGGAACATGATTTCTGATGGAGGCTACTTATATGTCTGTGGGGATGCCAAAGGCATGGCCCGAGATGTTCACCGAACTCTGCACACCATCATGCAAGAGAAGGTATGTGTCTGAACGACATCTGTAACTACTTTAGTAGGTGCACGTGCTTCATTCTTGAATTATCTTTTCTTTTGGTGCCAATTTGGCTTGCCGACTTGTTTGGTACGGTGTTCTAGTAGACTTGATCGGATTGTATAATAGATGATATTTTAGCTTCTTTTTCTTCTTGGACACTCTATAGTCCACCTTACCCCACAAGCCATTGTTGCAATAGTTCGTCTTTCTGGTAATATTGTCTCTCTGACGGTGACCAATCAGTTTTAATATACTCAACCTAGGCTCTTTTGAGATTTTAAAGCAGAATTGCTCGAGGCAATGATAAAGTCAACTTCTTTAGCTGATTAAGCCTAATTAATTCCATTGATTATTGTTTCAGGGATCTCTGGACACCTCTAAAGCTGAGAGCATGGTGAAGAATCTGCAGACGACTGGAAGGTATCTGCGTGATGTATGGTGATAATGATAATTCCTCCAGTCAACGCAATGTGCAAAGACTTAACATCTCCGCATGGCAAATTTTTTGGGTGGTGGTGTAGCAGCTGTTTGTTCTTGCGATTCTTTAAACTAGCTTTATTTGTGTATTTTTTGTTCGTGTAAGTTATACGTAATTATATATAATATAAGAAATTATCAGTGTCATAATGTTAGTTTTAGTTGTAGCTATTGAACTCTGTAATCTTCCTTGTGAGCCGACATGATCCGATGTAATTTTAGTGCCTCTTTAGGTTATTAAATTCCTTTTCTAAGATCTAATTTTTTGCGCTACCATTATTTTAGCTTTTTTCTTATTAAACTATGCCATAAATGATAAATCAGTCATTATTCTTGTAGTTGATACCAATTATTAAATGAATTAAACTAGTTTGATAGAGAAAGTTTGATAGGCTGCTTTGACATTTTCTTACATGTGCTGGGACCCATGGGACCCCCAAAACCCACTAGTGGCTGTCGGAGAGAGAGTGTCAAACTCTTATTAAATTGTGGACAGATTGCTCTGTTAGTAGACGGTATCAAACAAGTGGGCTTTTGTACTAGTCTGCAATGAATGCAGGAAGAAAGATTGTACCTAGGGATTGTAAATGAGTTCAATCATGGAAATTGTCATTTGAATAATGTTATATGTGCATTGATTGACATTTTCTTGTGGAGGAAATTTGTGAAGTGATTCGATGAATGAGTTTAAAATCAACAGTGCAAATATTGTCACGTGAAAAGGTGTAAGAGAGGGTGTAAATGTAGCAAAGTTGTCATTCTGTCTAATATGGGCAAAATCTTTCGTGTATTGTGGTTGGAAAATAGAATAATTGTAGAAGGAAATTGAAATCTTGTTTACTATTTAGTTCTACCAGTGCAATGTATTAAGTATGCATTTAACGGTCATCAGAGGAATTGTTATGCTAGTGTTAAATGGATAAAATCTCATATCGACTAAAGAATTTGATTATATCAAGATTTAAAATGCTCTCAAATTTCAATAAGTTAGAATAAGCTATTAGATTTAATATTGGTATTTTGGTAATTGAGCTGCCTGCCATCTTGTGCGGACATATTAATGTTGACTTGTTCGATACCCGACCACCAAAGAGACAGGAGGTGGAATTTAATGCACTTATGGGGTAGGTGGGAAAATGAAGTGACGGTGCCAAGTTGGGTTGTGCATCATTAAAAAGCTCCCATCTCCTTTATGTAATATACTGATACTGAGTGAAATTTCCCAACACCACCATGTGCGCATACAGCAAATTTCAATTCTGGATCTCAATGGCATATCCTGGATATGCAAAATTTTAATCTAATTTGAAAGACATAAATATAAACAGTTCTTGACCTATCTTCTGGATATTCACGACGATGGACATGATTCTTGATCATGTTTTTGATTCATGTTAGGAGATTTGACACAGGTCGAGAATATAAGACATTAAAAGATAAAAAAATAAATGTAACTAATCATTTCAAAATAATGAACGATGGTCTTTCATAAGATTGATCATAAATGGTTAAAGCACCAGCTTCATCCCCATCTAACGATGGCCGAGCCCCAGGTAAGACCAGCTCCAAATCCGGCAGCTGCAATAGTATGGCCTGGCTGCACCTTCCCACTTCGTACAGTCTCGTCCAATGCCAATGGAATGGACGCAGCACTTGTGTTGCCGAAGTTTGCCAAGTTGGATATAACACGTTCAGATGGGACCTCCAAACGTGTTGCCACGGCATCAATTATCCTCTGGTTTGCCTGCAATTTAGCCAATCCCATCTTTTATCTCAGTCAATACTCGTATAAATATGACAGTTTTAGAGGTCTCACTGCAAAATACATACAACGACTCGTCGAGCAAAGTGTTATAGATTAAACTTTTCACCGCTTACTTTGTGAATAACCAAGACATTTTTGTAAAAGTAAAACCAGTACAAAAGTCCAATTTCAGAACACACAAAATATTTCACACTTGTCATATTTACATGTAGATGGAACTTTTTGTTTAAATGTAACTAACTCAACCGTATAGCAACACCTAAGAAACGACACTGTGGGCAAGCACTGGATATGCAAAAAAATAACTTTTCTTGCCACTTTAATTGTGATTTGAGTGTTGGCAATTGTCCGCTATTAAATTTATGGAAAACACCATGATGCTTAACGAAATAGATCAAAGTCCTCTTTTTCATTACATTGCGTTTGCTCATATAGAAATATTATAGGTTCCTGTTTTATACCTGATGAAGAAGCAACCAGTCTATGTCGGATCCAGCAAGACCTGCCTTCTCTAGAGCGGATTCAATTGACTGGGGCACAATGCGAACAGCAAAGCGAAAGACCTCTTTACCATTCATCTGGATGCAAGAGTAAGAGGAATTTCTTGGGGAAAATCCTAGTAACGAGCCATTTGTACCTAACAAATGATCTGTTTCCTTTTGCTTGATGGTGGCGTTTAAGTGCCTGCAAAAGCAGTTATTGCTCGTTACTCATTTTGACTATTACATGGTAAATACATGATAGGTCCATAAATAAATTGAGAATACACACCTTTGTCCTTCACCGTCACTATGCAAGTCAAAAGCAAATAAACCATCCTCTTCACTATCACAGGCCTGCAAACAACTGTGAAAATTAGTATAGTTGCAAGAAATCATTTCCAGCAAATTGAAACCAATCTAGTCGTGAATAAATTGTTTTACCAATAGAAAAGAAGATACGCAAAGTAGCTAGCTTTTTTCAAAAAAAGAACAAGAATGAAACATTTTTCACCAAATAAATGCTTGATTTCATTTTGTACTTGTAGACTTCCCTTGACAGAGAAGAGAGCTGAAATGGTTCCCATGTTTCTTTTGGAATCCCCCATTTGGTTCCACTACATTCCCCTCACAATCCTCCCCACAAAGAAGATTGTTTCTAGGGTAATATCCATAGCAACTCCTGTCAAAGCCAACTTTGCCTGTATGATACATAGGGCTGCTAGACAGAACTGATTGAGAATAAGTTAATCTTCTGTGCTATAGACAAGAACTGTTGGTTAAAAATTACCCAAAACCCCATCTAACACTTAGTCAAAAGTTGTAAATTGTAGTTATTTCAAGGCAAAGAAAGTTGTGCTTTTATATAGAAGACACAGACAGCTGATTTAGGGTCAACCTATGGCCTTGCTTGAGATGATATTCCTATAACTAGAGCAAGATTAGGTCTTCGTTACCTGCACAATCTGTTTTAACTGTTACAGTGATAACACGCTTGGGTGCTGAATCCACATAAAGTAGGATCTAAAATACGTGGCAACATATGCATTTAATTTAATAAAAAGAAGGGAGTGAAGAAATTGACTCTCAACTCCCAATTGCACAACACATTCAGTTCTAAACCTATTTAAGATGATTTACATTATAGATGATGCTTACTTCCATCTTTATCTTTTCCGAGTACCTGAAAGGATGTGTCATGCAGATTTTATAAACCTCTACAGAAGCTTATGAAGTGCAATCCAGAAAATGAGTCCAAACTCTACTCTGAATAATCAGTCTCTCCTGATCCACTTTTTCATATATGTAGTGATATATATTGAATGTATGGCTGCATTCCTATGTGAAGACTATTGAACTTAAGAAATAATTAACTCACGCAGTGCAAAATGACAATAAGAAAAACCAAGTTTGATAAAGATGAAAACATACCTGTACTAGCACAGCACCAGCAGCGTCACCAAAGAGAATACAGGTTCCTCTATCCGTCCAATCAACATATCGAGAGAGAGCATCAGCCCCAATCACAAGAACATTATTGAAGCCACCCCCTTAACAGCAGAATGATTTCAATTTGTACAGCAAATGAATATAAGTTGGACATGTAAAATTAATAGAGTTTGGGAATCTCCTTATAGTGGAGAAACAGAATTTTACCTCTGATATAGCAACCAGCTGACACAAGGCCTAACACAAATCCACTACAAGCTGCTGTAATATCATAAGCTAATGGATTGTTTTTGCAGCCAAGTGCTTTTGGAATCTGGCATATTAGACAATTACGAATTTTGAGAGATATTAACATATTATGGACGAAAGTAATACTACAAATTAAACTATACATCTGGTATGATATCTGTAAAATGAGAAGCAAATTGAATTTGAAGATTGCAAGATCACTAAAGAACATAAATATTGAAACTAAAAGCTCATCAATCAGCCCCAGAAAATATGTTCATGGTACGAGGATGTAACAGATTATGTGGGTAAAACTCATTCTTAGATTCTTAACATGGTGACGGAAAAACGGAAAAAATATCTCATGGCTAAGCACATATTAGTTTCCATTGATGTTGATTGTCCTTTCAACAAATCTTAAAATCTCCAACGTAAAGACTTGAAATTTAGGTTGAATTGAATTTTTTGTATTATTCATCAAACTCAAGGTTATTTACACAACATATGAATTTATATAAGCTAGATGGAATTATTTCAACAACCTCCTATTCTAACTTTCCTCCTCAAGTTGGCGCATCGATATTACACATGCCCAATTTGGATTATTATGCATAGAATGGGCCACTCTTGAAAACCATTGTTGGACTCTGATTGGAACTCCAATTAGTAAAAATCTCTAATTGTATGATCCTGAAAATTTTATAGAATAGAATTATTTGTTCTATAAGCTATATTTTTATATTTTCGAAAGTTGAAGGACTAAAGCGAAATAGGTATTGATTCTTTTATTTTCTTGGGTCAGATAATTAGATTTTGATAGAACAAGTTTTAACATATATATACACTCACAGAGAGTAAGATATTATCTTTTATTGGTAATTAATTTTGTTGGTTAAGTTTTGATATTATGGTAGCCATGTGTGTGTGTTTGAGATGGATATGAACTAACATTTTCTTTTTTATTTGATTAGAATTAATAACTAAGTCGGTAAGTTGCTCAGCCACGTTTCACGTGTATAGTATAAACGTTAATTGTTATTTTATTTTTTATTTGACAAAGATTAACAGTTAAATTTTAATCCTACTTATCTTAGAATATACCACTCTTCATTCTTTAAATTCAATACTAGCTCCAATGCAAGTTCACGAGAAAGATTATAAAGGTTAATTGTAATTCTATTTTTATTAGGATTGTTGTTAATTGTTAATTATGATTTAATATTTATTGGATATCTATTAAATTATTATCGGATTATTTGATATAAGTGTTTGGATAAAACTTGAAATTTGTTATCTTCTCCTGGTGCAGTTAGAATTTTCTTAAATTCAAATTTCTTGATAAGTTGATTTGTTTGTTAAGAATTCAATTTAATTTTAAATTACAAGTTCTATTTGAAGTCTAAGTATGTAATTCATCCTAATCTAATGCCCACTATTTAATAATCGTGATTTGCACTCAGTTCACACCAATTCAAATCATAGAGAGAGAGAGAGAGAGAGAGAGAGAGAGAGAGAGAAAAGGGGAATAAAGCTATTTAGCGTGTTCGAAATCCGTTCACAAGAATTTTAACTAACTTAAGTATACAAGCAATTTAATGAACAAGGTATGTACTTCTCTAAATGGCAAGTGGTTTTGTGTTTTCACTTTTTAATGTTTTAAGTTCATTATTTTATTTGCTATTATGTAATTCAAATTAAAGAAGGATCTTGTGGGTAACATCAAGGGTACTATTATGTATATTTACACAAAAACCAGCCACAAGGCTAAATATCTTAAGTGGAGATAGAGAATGGATATGACCTAAGTGAAATGAAAATGTTAGGTTTCTATTCCACTAGAAAATTATGTTATGTGAGTAATTTACTTGCTTTTTATATTAAATCGTGAAAATGCTGGTATGAAATCTATACTGAGTGTATTCGTATGCTCATTCCTTACTATAAAATACTTTACATATGTTTGATGGATCGGAGTTGGGGGACTGCTGGCAACGTTTGTTTCGCGGGATCAAGAACTTAAATTTTCTTTTAGTATTTAATGAGAGAATTATTTTGAAATAACAATTTTATTTTCAAAATTGACTGGAGTTATATCTCAGTAGTGGATTGGATCAATTGATATTTTATGAGACAATAAAACAATTTATTTTATTTCGCATAATTCTTCAAAGTTTGTATTAAAGTACGAGTAAATCTACTTTTCTTACAAATAAAGAAGTCAATTGAGTAACCTCCGGGACATAGATTTTGGAGCGTTACACTAATTGCAACTCCAAGTAGTAAAAGCCTCCCCCTTTTGCCAGTTATAATCATCCTATTGGTAAGATTGTTCGGCATGAGGGCTACTTGAAATACATGATAATGCATAAGACCAGCAACAAAAGATTAAAGCCCACACATAGAAAACATGCACAAACAACACACACGAGGGTATAAAATCTTTCAATGCAGCTGAGGCCATGATGTGTTAGAACCATAGGAGTACTAGATGGCTGGGTTGACTAAGATGAAGGGTCACAGAGCTCTAAGAAAAGTCGCCGAATGGGTATCTGGCAGCAAGTAGAGTAGAATAGAACCCTAGGCTGTTCCAGATGGTTGTGTAGACCAAGATGAAGGGTAGCACAACATTGAGAAGGTAGCTGGAGGGTCACACAATAAAAAAGTTAGAAACTGAAGTACAATAGATACCACAGTAACAAATCTGAGAACCACCAAATCAATAGTACCAGAAAACCAACCAATGTGTATAGCAAGTAATTTTTGGTTCAACAATCTAGAATTTGATATTTTAACAATCTCTAGGGGTAAAACTGGAAACAAAAACTCCAATATAAAAAACATACCACAACAAAAGGTGCGGAAGAATAATCAACAAACCAAACTAGACCTAATAGAATAAATCACCCACAAATAGCAACCACCTCACACAAGGGTAAAATGGTGTGAATGAGCAGTACTGTAAATAGTACTCATGACAGTACCCGATGAACAATAAGAATAAAGGAGAAGCTACAATTTTCAAACTGATTAGGGTTAGGTTTTATTTTTTTAATTATTTTTTTTGTTTTTATATTTTAATTTAATGCCCTAATTTTCAAGGGTATACTATTTCCGAAACGATATAGAGGGAAGAGTGACGTCGGAGCGAAATAAAGGATAAAAGTTCGCCAAAGCGAGGTAGAGGGTGGTCTGCCGAAGTGAATAGAGGATAGAGGGTTGTCAGAGCGAAATAGAAGGTCGTCGGAAGATTCTCCCTAGGGTTTTTAGATATATTAATAAAAATTAAATTTAGGGTTCAATTGAAACCTAATTTTAGAAGCTGTAAATTTTGACAATCAAAGCTCTGATACAAACTTGAAATTTAGGCTGGATTGAATTTCTTGTATTATTCTCAAACTCGAGGTTATTCAACCTGAAAGGAAAAACACTAATTCCTAGATAGACTAGGATATAAGCTAGATTAAAATATTTCCATGATGTCATATTCTAACTTAAAGAATTGAAGTGTGTTTCCTGTACTTCAATCTTGAGGAGAGACTCTTGAGTTTAACAAATGTATACCTGAGGAGCACTGCCAAACAAATCCTCTGGAGTAGAAGTACACATCAAGACAAGGTCCACGTCATCCGCATCAACCTCCGCCATCTGGAGAGCTTTCTTTGCTGCCTCTGCAGCGAGACCTACCAAACTATCTTTTCCTGCAACAGGAAATGTTGCACTAAATTCATGAGGCACATGTATATCAAGAATATTGATATTAAAAGTTTTAATGCACTCCTAAAACTCAAAATAAGTTATAATAAAATCCAACAACATACTTACATATGATAGTCAGAAAAACATGCAGCTTACCAAGTTTTAGCAAGTGAATCCATTTGTTCAATTGATATTTTCTGTATGAATATGAGTAGGCTGAACTTGATTGGCAATATAAACACTGACTTCAATTAAACTCAGTGTGTACACAAGTGGGTCAACCCCTCAGCTCAGCCCACTAAAATTAGAGGATAAAAAAGATCACACCGTTTATATGATCACAGTGAGCTATTGACATGATACTTTTTTACACATCAAAATTGTAAGCCTAATTCTTCAATCTAATATTTTCATAAAAATTGTATTGACTTGCACCCGAAAAGAAATTTATAGGACGAGAAGTACATCCTTTTTTTGGTCAGGCATATTGATGACAAATGTAGCTAAACTAGGGTGCGAAGATTGGGTGGCTTTAGCTCTTGTTCCATTCATAATTAGTTGCACAAATACAGATTGCAGGCTACGAGGAAAAGAATTTTACAATTACCGAAACTCAAATTAACACCAACCTGAAACATGCATGTACAATACAACTCCTAATGGGGTTCATTGACAAGAACCAGTTTTCAATACCTAAATTACACAGTTTTTCCCCTGTATCAAGTTTAGTGTTCCCCAAACTCTATATCGCACACATAGAAACTCACCAGAAAGAACTCTTCTGTTTCGAATTCCTGTCCGAACAGAGATCCACTCATCAGAAGTATCAACAATTTTTGCAAGATCATCATTAGAAATTTGAAGACCTGGTACTGCAGAGCCACATCCAACTAACTTGCAGCCCTTACTTACTAGCCTATACATATTTTAAGCTTGTATTAGAGAGGATTCAGAAGCAGTATTTCAATAATAATATTATTGTGTAAAACATCATTCTAATGAACCAAATCAGAAAAACAAGACAGCTCGACTCATTTTGGATTGTATGATTGGGGGGAAGTGAGTTTCCACAATAAGCCAAAACTGCAAAGTACCAGACTAATGTGTAGGTAAAGCTTCAAACAGATAACAACAGCTAACGAAGCAGTAGAATGAGCAATTTTTAGTTAAAAAAATGAACAAAATGCAAATAAGAAACCTTTAATGGGGGCTAGACTACTAAAACATTATTTATCTGCTTGATATGAATTTGTGAGAAACATTCAAAAGCGGAAATTTCTTCATAGATGATGTACATAAATTATTAACAATAAGTTAGTTATTCTAATCCATTAAGTGTTGCTCTCAAACAATCCATATCCAGATATCATGCCAGGAAATATTCCTATGACAACAAATAACTTGAATACAACAAGCCGAACTTCAGAACTAATATATTTCAAATGTACGACCTTGATATCTATAGCACTATTTGTACTAGCAAGAGGGATTTTTTTTTTCCCTTTTTGTTGTCATTATCGATATATTTATTTATTCATTATTTTTAGTTTCTTGAAGGTGGGAAATTATGCATGCACCAAAGAGAAAAAGACACTGAAATCATATCAGATATAAAAGGAGACAGTGAACGTAGAAGCACTTCACATTTGAATTCTCCAATGTATTTATCTTATGATAAGCAAGATTTGGATTGTCTGTAGCTCATAGTTTTCTTATAAATTTTTAAATAGCAAATTTGCCAAATTTTACAAGAGTTCAAATAAGAAAACTTCTATTCAAAGTATCAGAGTCAAAGAATAACTCTTTAACATAAAACTTTCATCCATTGAAATGCCAACGCATTACGAATAAAGCTACTTTTCAAGATGCGTCGTGCCTATGTCTCCACATCAGCTCGAAGGATAACTGACGCCGCACAGTCACAGACCCTTAGCCTCAGTGTGCTAATTCAGAAAAAATAGAAACAAAAGACCCACATCCTCAAGAAAACTCATCACATGATAACTTAAAATCATCTCATATATTCGGGTGACTAAAACTAAAACTACTAATCAATATCCTTTCCCCTTCCATTTCCATATTTTTTCCTATTTAGTTCTAACAATCCACTGGCACAGCACAAAGAAAGCCAATTTTACCGGGAACTCTGCACTATGTCGTAGGATTTATCTCTACCCGATTTATGGATCTGTTAAAGTCTGTCTGTCTGTCTCTCACTCTCTCTCTCTCTGTCTCTCCCCTTTTTTTTGCTCAACTCTTCCCACAGTATATGAACACAGATAAATTGATGCTTCACTGATTCCATGAACTGTTACTGATGAATGTCTAAACCCCTATATGGTAACTTTAAAAAATCTGATTAAAATCTAAGTTAAAGTCAACAATTAATTTTAACCACACATTTCATAAGATCCACAACTTTTAAACCACACATTCCATCAACTTTTATCAAAACCTGCTAAAAATCTGATTTTAATTGCTATCAAACATGGGCTAAATAAATGGGAGAGATATCAGATAAGTTCTATCTCATTAAAACTTTGATTATAACAAAGAGTTTTTTGTTCCACCATAAGAAACTCCTTCCTAGCAAGTTATAGAGCAAAAGGTCAAAACAGGGGAAATCAAAGGCATTACTTGATCATCAAGGCTACAGCAATACATGTGAATAAATGATCCATAACCAACAGACCAATCGATTTTCTGAATAGTTCATTAGCTAAAATCTCGTTCATTATTCGGTAAAGTTCTTAGCAATAGTTCGTACCAAACATTCACTGACGGATAAACAAGAACATCAATATTTAACACTTTTTCTTGATTAAAGAAGTTGCCTAAATGCTAAATGAGAGTGACGCAATAGCTTTCAGTTAAACAAAGAAATCTCCACTTCAATTAAATTCCCAAAAGCAATTATATAAAACCACAAAACAATAAAATCCCAAATTGAGAGTACACTGGATAAAAATTTTAACTTTGAATAAAATCAAATAAACAAGAATTTCAGGAAAATTCCTAAAGAAATTGATCAATCAAAGCAAACACTCTACTAATAAAAAATCAAAACCAACGGATAAACTAAAAATTCAATGTAAATTTTCTTACCTGGGAACTGTAGATTCAGAGGGGGAAAGCTTCGCTTCATCCTGAAGAATGCTGTAACACAGTATTCTTCTGGAAACTCCCTCAGAGAACCGAAACCCAGATCGATCGATGTCTATAGACGGAGAAAATCTGCTCCTCACACTAGGCACAGTAGGTGTAAACAGTCCAGATGCATTTGCCATTTATTTTTCTCTTTCTTTTTATTATTAAAGAGAATTGAAAACAGAGCACATGCAGAGGGAAGATTTTATTAGGTTTCTTGAAAACAAAATGATTGAATTTGAGACGGAGAAACCAATGAGTTTTATTGTTCTCACAATTTCTGGTGGTTCTGGCGATGAAATTTCAAGTCCAAAAACAAGAAAACTCTCTTTTTCATCAAAGCACATGCAGATTCTTGTGTAAATTGATAACTTTTAGGTCTCTATTAACTATTCTATTTGTCCTCCGGATGACTATCATGCATTTTGCATTTGCCTGAAAAAATTGAATCTTTGTTAGTGTAAAGAAAGTGATGGTTCCCATCCACGTAGACAGAGTCAGTATATCCTACTCATTGAAATAACTATTTTGCCCCTGAAATGAGATGACCACGATTGGAAAATTATACCCAAGTAGCTGCATCTGTGTTGACTCTTTGTTCCAATTCTCCCAAACGAGTAATGCTACTCAGCATCATTATTGTCAAATATCGATTTAGATGACAATTACATGTAATTAATTGATTTATTCACTTAAATGTAAAGTTACATGATTTATTTAATCGAAGATATCAAGTGTGATCACCTAAATTGGTGTTAGATAGTATTATTCTATCTTATTTTCTCTTAAATGTTTGTTCTACTATTACCCATAGGATAAGTGGTAATAAATGGCTAAAAGAATTGTCACTAATTAGTAACAAATGACTAGAAGAAGTTTGGCATGCTAAATTAAACACTATTACTAACTAATTTCTACACGTAGAGATTTAAGTTCGTGTTGGGAAGTCGTGTTGAAAAACGATTCTATCGAATCGTGTTTGTGTAGGAGAGTAAATTACGAAACTTAAGGACATATTTCCATGTTGGGAAGTCATGCTAGGGCACGATTCAATTTGCAGGGAAGCATTGTATAAGCACTTTTCGACTCAAGTTGTGTTTGATGGAAAGAGTAAATTACCAAGAGTTGGGAAGTGAGATTATGCTGGGAAATTTTGCAAAGGCACAATTCATTTTATGTTAGAGTGTACCATGGAAGTGTCCACTTTTTAAGTTAAGTCGTGTCTATGGAAGAGTACATGTCGAGCCACAATTTGGTCTGCATTGAGTTGCACCATGTAAGCGTCCACTTTGAGTCATGTGGTGTTGTGTTTGTCTCGAAGCATCTCAAAAAAAGAATAGACATGTTTCTTTTTTTAAAAAAAGTCAAAATTTTAAAGTAAGAGATCTATTAATTGGGCATGTCATACTCTTCATAGTATAATCGAACCTAAACACATCACGTCATGTCATTTAGTACAGATATCTTAATATTCATCTACTCTAAAATAAAATTCTTGAAAACTTTAAACAATTTGATGAGTAAAGTCAGGTCTAAGTCTACGCTAAATTAAGTTGTGTCATACACTCCTATTAATTGCAAATATCCTATTATTCATCTACACTCAAGTCTAATTCTTGAAACCTTTGGTCAAGGTTCATAGAGTTGCAATTATTTCGAAAGGGTTTTAAGCATTATTGTAAAAGTTCTTCCAAACTAATGGGTAGAGTAAAATATAAAATTAGAAATATGGGATAAGCTACCAAATCTAAATGAAATAATCGATCAGATACCAAAGATTTTTACATCTAACATCTTGAATAACATGCTTTTTTTATTATACTATATAATGTTGTGTTGCAATAGTGGTGCTAGTCTAAGTGAAAGTGGGTTAATTGCCATTTAATTGGTGTTAAATGGTATTATTATTAATTTTGAAAGAGATTTCTATAATTTGTAATGCAGTGTTCTAATCTCAGAGTTCAGCGGACCAACATAATATTCACAATTCTAATAGTATTAGATAGTAAATCTTAAATACTTAATACTTTTAGATAAGTTTTCTTCTTCATTTTGTTGTAATCAATTAAATAATTTGAACTCCAAAGAAATATATAGTTAAAATATATATGATATAAAATAGAAAAAGTGTAAAAAAAGAATTTCAAATGTCATGAGAATCAATTATATGATTATATAGTAATTCAACAATTATTATTATTATTTTTATAGGAGTACACTTGAACGAAGCTCATACATGGACCAACTTCTAGGAAAATTCTAAAAGGAATGTATTCAATTGAGACTTTTAAATTTTTTTATAGACTTTTTAAACTAGATGACTTCCGTAAACTTTGTGAACTTTTAAGTGATTTCTTTGGATTTAATAATAATTAGTAAAAGTTTCCGAAGGATTTTTGTCGACTTTTTTTTTTTTTTTTTTAAATACTAAACATATATAATGTAATATTTTAAACAACTTCTTAATATCCAAGTCATCCACAAATCATATAATTGAAAATGCAAAACAATAAATCGTACTTTTATGTCAATTTTTTTTCCAAAAAATAAAAATAAATTCAACTTACATCAAGTAGATTAGCAAATAATTAAAATACCAAAAAAATAATAGTATTTTGGTAATGATCAACAAAAAGAAATAATAAAAAAAAAAAATCAAACATTCCGAACATCATTCCACATATTAGTTGCTATCGAAGACCTTCATGCATTAGCATTCTTTCTTTCTTGTTCTTGACTCTCAAAAAATGGTCCAAACTCTTCCCCCACATTAATCGAAGAAGATGAAGCATCTTCATTATCAGGTTCAATTGGAAATTGATCAGAACGACACTCTTTATGAAGAAAATTGTGTAATCTTACACAAGCTAATAAGAGTTCCGCTTGTGTACGATATGAAAATGGAGGAGATGTTTTGAAAATTGTGAATCTTGATTTAAATATACAAAATATCCCTAAATACATTCCTTAAGGAAGCATGACAAAAATTAAACAATTTTTTTGTATTTTCATGGTCATGACTTTGAACAGCAAAATCTTGAAGATGATAATGAACACATCAAAAAGGAGTTAAGAATTGATGTCGATTTGAAAATTCAATCTCCTAAAAAAATATTTACCTGAACATAAAATACTTATAAAATTAACAAGTAACTTATAACATGTAAAATTATGATACAATAAGACAAAAGAAAAAATGAAATAATAAAGTCATGCTTTGTGGCACATAAGTTCATTTTCCCTTGTTAAAGCATCACTCAATGCCTTAAAATCATGTGCTGATCCTTCCAACCACTAAACATATATATAAATTCCAAATCAAACTGAGAAATTGTTCCATGACAATTTCCATAACTGCTTGTATTACGTCCAGTTACCATTGCTAGAATGGGTACCATCAATAGCTCCAATAAAATCCTAAAATAATAAAACAATACAAAGAAATCATGAGAACACTAATGATAACATACAACAAAAATTATAATAACTATTATTCCATTACTTACTTTGAAGTAAGGGTAAAATCTTGTACTTTTCCTTATTTTTTCCAGCACAATGAATCCCAGTTTGACCATCATATTTACCCCAATTCCAAATATTCATTTTCCAAAGAATCCCCGTAATAGGAACCCCGGTGAAACCCATTTCCGAAAATTCAATTCTTTACTTATGAATGATGAAATCAAGCACAACGTTTATAAAAGATTACTATTTACTTTCAAATAATTGCAATTTCAACAAGAGGCAAATTTTTTCCAGAGAGGAATATCCAATGACAAAGAAGCATTACCACAAGAAGCCAATAATGTTCTTTAGAGTTTGAAGGATTTAAGAGCGATTCACAAAATGATGCGAACCCTGTAGCAACGTTGACTACGAAACCCACAACGATATTGACGAACCCAAGAAAATCAAATTAATCCAAGAGTTTAGGATCAATCTAAAAAGAAAGTCGAACCAAAAAAATCCAACAAGAACGACGCTTGAAAGACCATTTGATCACGCAATCCAAGAATTAAATCTGATTGTTTGAACGCCACAAATTAACACTTGATAAGTTCGAAATTGTTCAATAAAGAACGATGAAGAGAAGATAATACGTCTCACTTTAATTCAATATCAAATATGTCAAAAGTTGTCCTTACAATTGAATAAAAACTTCTATTTATACTAAACTTAAAAATTAGGTAAAAATCGTGCAAAAGTCGACCATAATCCCCAAAGTATGGAAAAGAATAAAAAACTAACAAAATATCAAAAAATATCAAAAATAGGAAATTCACCCAAAAATTGGCCTATGCGATCGCAACGTGCAATTTCATGCGGTCGCATGGTTCAAACAAAATGCCTCCTTTGAGCTTCGGTAGACCACCGTGCGACCGCGAGCGTGTATGCCTGTGCGACCGCACAAGCTTAAAATTCCCTTCGGTCTCGGCCTTCGATATTAAATTGATCCAAGTTGATTCGACATTCGACCCGAACATGAAAGTTGCTCCATTTTGAGCCCCGAACATGGTGTCTCCAATCGTTGCCTTGACGAGCAATCCCATCACCTCGTTGACTCGCCTCTTCTTTGTTCACGTCATCGGTTCGTCATCGACTATCAACGGGTCTTTTCTTGCACTTGCCTTCATCGGGCTCGACTCCTGGGTCATATCATCTCCTCTCTCTTCAAAAAGATTCGTCCTCGAATCTGAACTTATATCAAACAGAGAGACATCAGATACGGTAAAAGTAGCCAAAACATTATACTCACCTGGAAGGTCCAACTTGTATGCATCATCGTTTATCTTTTCAATAACTTGAAATGGACCATCGTCCCTCGGTTGCAACTTGGTCTTCCTTTGCTCCGGAAATCGCTCCTTCCTATAGTGCACCAAAACCCAATCTTCTGGCTCGAATGTCACGCGCTTCCTACCTTTGTTCGCCTACAATGCAACCAACTTACTTTTGTTTTCAATTTGCACTTTTACCTTTTCATGGAGTGACTTAACCAATTCCGCCTTCTTTTTGCCATCTAAACTACCACGTTCATTCACAGGTAAAGGAATTAAATCCAAAGGAGTTAGTGGATTAAAACCATATACAATTTCAAATGAAGAATATGACGTAGTAGAGTGAACAACTCGATTATATGCAAATTCAACAAATGGTAGACACTCCTCCCAACTTTTCAAATTTTTATTGATTACTGTGCGCAACAATTGTGTCATGGTCCTATTCACTACCTCGGTTTGCCCATCCGTTTGTGGGTGACAAGTTGTGAAAAATAGTAATTTAGTACCTAACTTATCCCACAAAACTCTCCAAAAGTGACTTAAAAATTTGACATCCCAATCCGACACAATGCTTCTAGGAACCCCATGTAATCGCAAAATCTCTTTAAAAAATAAGTCAGCAGTGTTCGTGGCATCGTCCGTTTTGTGACATGGTATAAAA